ATTTGTCTCATATTTGTTTAATTTAAGGTCTGTTTTATATATCTTTATCTCAGTATTTAGCCAGAAAAGACAATCTGACAATGTTTATGTTTATATTGGGAGTAGTTGATGCAGAATTCTGGTCCAGCCCACCATAGAATGGGCGATACTCACTCAAGCACAAACTAGTTAGCTCATGGAACCCACTCAGACTATCTGCATATGTTAATGTAAGTGTCATTATGTTGTATATGAGCACGGTAAATTTTAGTGTTAATCACACATATGGCTTAATTATGTTTGCGGAATTGAAAATGTGGCTGTAATTTGTGAATATTCTACATATAAATTAATGTATATATTTAATGACATTATTGACCTTGATAATGATATTATTAATTTAAATTTACTATATAAATCAATTTTGAAGATAGTATCTTGATTTATCCCACAATATGTGGGATCATTAACCTTCTTTAAAGTAATCAAATCCTTAAAATTATAACAATTAGCTCAATATCAATACGTAATATATTGTAAAAGCACGATTTAAAATTTTTCCTCTTTGATTCACTAACATACTAGCAAGATAATTTTTATGATATACTAGGAACATAATTAAGATACTAGCAACATTATAATTATATATACACACACACACACACACACACACACACACACACATATACACACACACACACACAGAAAAATCAGTTTGTAAGCCAAAAAAACGTATCAATACAATAATAATGAAAAAAAGAAAGAAAGCAAAAGTCTAGCAATTCTTATCATTGTTATCAAGTCCCCTTGTGCCTTGTGCATAGGCAGACCAATTAAAGAAAAGGAGAAATACAAAAGATGTCACTCAACAGATGTTATCTTTACAATAGTATAATGCCACTCAATTTATTAGAAAATGATATTTTAATATCTTATTAGATCCTTTTTTCTTCTCTGTAAAGATGATCAGATATTACTGGGTTCGGTCTTCAAATAATATTTTGGTAGTATAGTAAAATCAACAAAAATAATGAGAGATTAGATAATGTAAAACTGTTGAATTTTGGTAGTATGCTACGTAATTTTCCCTGTTGTTGTGGGGAAAAATTCCCGCATTTGGCTAAATGACGTTCTATTTTCATCTATCCTTAGCGTACTCTAAAGCCATATCTGGTTGTTAATTAGTGAACATGAAGGAATCAAAACTCATTCTCTTCTTAATCTCGTTGTAACATTTTGATTAACTTTACAAGTAATCCACCCATTAATGCGTGGAATCTCCATACTAGGAATACAATAACAACAACTTGTCAATATGAAAAAAATGCTGTTTCATCTTGTATTTTTCAAGGTCCCCAGATTCTTACTGATTTTATGCAATATTAAAATGTGGCTTGAATATCGCATTGTGTCCTAATTAACAACAAAATGCTAAAAAACAAAAACTTAATTTAGATTTGGAAAATCAAGGGCAATACATATACAACTGCAAGTTCCGAAAGTCAGAATTGTGATTTGTCCATTTCAGTGGCTTTACTTCTACTCTGTCCTTGTGTGTTATGCAGTGTAGTTCCCCATCAGCCAATGAAATTGACCTTCAGAATTTTTTTTTTTTTTTTTTTTTTTTGAATGTTTTAAGGTCAAAACCAAAGAAAAGAGGTTCCTTCTTTTCGTCCAAGTATTCAAACACATTAATTCTGGTTAATTATTTTGCTAGCTAGGCTCCTTATTAATATATGATATTGATCTATAGATCTAGTTTTGAGTCAAACAAATAATAATATATATTTCCCACATCTTGTTTTTCTTAAGGAAGTATGTTACCGTTATCTTTAAGTACATAAAATCTTAAATCGGGTTGACTTTTTAGGTTGCTACATATGTAAAATCTGATCTCATGACTTAAAACAACCCACATTCAGTTTTAGATCTCTTTTTTTGTCTCCTGTCCTAGTCCTACCAAGGAACTGTGTTTTTCTCTCTTTTTCTTGAAGAAAACACTGTTTCTCTAAAGAAATTTCTTGTTTATACATCTATAATTCCTTTTTTGACAAGTTCAAGAAGATCATCAACCATGAGGAGTTCTTTTTTCTTCTTCTTTGACACATATTAATTTGCTTGCAAGAGAAATGGTGAAAATAGCAACTAGAGGTAGTTATTTTGTCTTGACTTGACTTTGTTAAACGTAACAATTTCTTCTAGAATTTGCAGCCCAAACTTGATCAAGGAGTCGTTTATCGTGTTATCTTTATTGAGAATTTTTTAAGGATTTAATAAGGAAAAATGATAAATATTTTTTTAACTGAAAAAAATGCTAAAGCGTTTCGAAAGATGATAATTACAATTATTTTTTCAACCAATCGCAGAGTCATGTGTCAATATGTTTGTCCCTATATCACACATAATCTGATATTTGACGTGAAAATATATATAATTAGTGCCGGTTATTGGCTTTCACTGGTATGTTTGGTATGGTTTCTTCAACGCAACTTGTGACTTTCTAGGTTAAAAAACTGCTCAGGATAATCTTTGATGATCGTTTTGAAAGAAATTAAATCCTCCACACATAAGCTTTCAGTCAAAACTAAATGGTTTTCTTGAGAAATTCTTGTGAGAAGACTTTAAAATAGAATTCTTACTTATATTTTGTTTTTGACTCTAAATAATTCTTACTTATTTAGAACAACACTAATGGACATGAGCGAAATTGAGCACTACTTATTAATTAAAAACGAGTTTCGTAATATATAGTTCACAAGTAGGATCTATATTTTTCATCTTCTATTAGAAATAGTGTTGTTTAACAACAATGACGTCTCTATCATTACTATATAGTTTTTTCAGTAAAAGATTGGCCACTATAGGAGTAATATCCAAAAAAAAAAAAAAAAAAGTTTAGGCATGCATGCCAGCTGTTTTAATTCACAGCGACTTCCTTTACTTGCGCAAGATTATATCTTGCTCTTCACATAAACAAAATTTCAACTATTAAGAGCCCCGTTCATGATGAGTTGTGCATCGATAAAACTAATATTCTTCCCATTCCAACGGGTCATCTGTAACCATTGGGAATTGTCAGCCTCTGACAACAAAGATACTTCCTTTCCGGGCAAAAAGATGAAAAAAAAAAAGAGTGAAAGATGCTTTGCATTATCGGTTCCACACATTCTTTCCCACGATGATGATGATAATAATGATAATAATAATAATGATGATAATAATAATAATACTAATAATAATAATAATACTAATACTAATAATACTAATAATAATAATAAATAATTAATAGTAATACTAATAATAATAAAGTTAAAATTCCTATAATACCCCCTAGTGCTAAATGTAACTACACTATATTTCTGAATTTTGATCCGAGCAATATTTTTCCACCGTTCGTATTATGTTAAAGAGGACAAAATTAAAGTTGATTAATGACACTAGCTCATCTTATTTGTGCTTAGATCACTTTGAAGAAACTAGGAAAAGGCTGATCACAGGGCGGCTGATAGTTGGAACAATTTCATTCAAGCTAATAGAACACAGAAATTGACTCGCTGATGTGATTCATTTTTTTTTTTTGATAATTCATTGATGTGATTCATTCATCTTGGCAAATAGAATAGCATAAAAAAAACATGTAAAGTAAAAATGCGTGATTGGTTCATCTCGGGCTTGATAAAGACCATAATATATAGATAAATTACAGAACTTAAGATGAGTCTAGATTTTTACTTTTTATTATTGATTAATACTCTTTTGACTACTATGATATTTAGTTAAAAGGGTATTATTAAGAATAAAAGATAAAAATAATGACCATGCAATTTAAAGGAGTATTTCCCTCATTTTTTCTAACATATAAACACTCATGAATAACATCCTCATATAATATGTTTTGCGATACTAACTTGATAAAAAACATCATCACTTTCTTATTAATTTGTTGATAATTGTCAACAATATAGATCTCATACTTTGTTATAAAAAGACCAACATGACATAACAAATGCTTAACAACTCGAATCGTGCTTTTAATAATAATAAGACCAGAAAATCTTTATTTTTCCAGTAGAATCAGAAAAAATGAGCGATCGATAATTTTTTATTTTTAACTGTTAGATCTACATTAAAAACTGTCTATTTTTAATATTTTTTTAATGTGATGTAATTTTGATTAAAATTAGTAGTCAAAAATAGGCTCTATCAATAGAGAGACCCTACAGGAGAAAACTTCTAGTAATAACAATAATTTAAAGAAAAGGAAAAGGTCCACATGTTTTACTGACTTTGGCTACTTACTTTTTTTTCCCCCTACTATGTGAGAAATTTAAAAGATTGGTACAGATTTGGGTGTCTCACACGCAACTTCCTTCTATATTTCACATTCCTACGCAAAATTTTTAGGCACCACCAACCATAAAACCTGAATATGCCCGTGAAGAAATGTGAGTGAGATTGACTAAGCGAGAGGGAAAAAGGAAACAAAAGATAAGCCCCCAAATGCGGAAAGAGAAAAATTAAAGGCCAAAGAAGGTAAAGTCATGGTGATCGGAATCAAGTTTTCAACAGCAAACGCACACAACAACGTGTTCTCGCATGCAAAGTGAAAAGGAAAGTAAAGGGTCCCCCCACAATTAAACGAATATGACTAATCTGCTTTTTTTTTTTTGGTTCAAACTTAGATCTTTGAAATACTTGACTTTTTGTGCAATTTCTCCTCTCTCGAGGGTTCAATTCAAAAACTTTGAACTTTTAAGTTTGAAATTTACTAAAACCTTCTTCTTATTTGGAAACGTATATGGTAAGATCTTGTCTTTTTTAGTTACTGTTTTAATCGTTAGATTAAGTTTTCATCTATTGATTTCTGAATGTCCATATTAAATATTTACATCCCACAATATAAAACTGCTTCAGTCACAAAATCAGGCCGTTCAAAACTGAATCTAAAAATTAAACAACAATCTCTATCGATAACTAAAGATAACAGGTCATACCATAGAAACGCCCTTTCTCATTTTCTTTGTTGCCTCTTGACACAGAGGAAAGTGGTCTCCTATTCTCTCTCTCTATAATCTCTATGGCTCGCAGCTGCTTTTTTTTAACCTTCCTATTCAAAGGGTCACAAAGACCTAGGACTTTGCGCAAAGTGCCATATTATATAGCTTGTACAGAAACCATACCCTTCCATAGTGGGATCCAATTCATTAATAATATAGAACTTTTACTTCTGCTTTTTCTTCTTTTTTTTTTTTCAGTTTCACCGGATGAATACAATAGTCAAATGTTGCTAACTGGAACTTTATGTCAAACAGACGTGAACAACTATACAAGATCATTATGGCAACAACTGTAACGAATCAACTTCACTATTACATCATCACCAAGGTCACCATTTGTATATTTATCATATCATACATTAACTGTAGCAAACGACATAAAGTTGTTGTGGGTATGAATGAATCTAACGGCAGAGATTTAACAACTACAATAGAAACCCCTTTTGCAAAGGTACTAATTCCATAAATAAAACTTAAAAAAAATAAAAAAAAAAAACTGAGAAAGAAGGAAGTTGGAATAGTTCTACCAGAAGCAGTTATTGTTGGAGTAGTACTTGTTGTTAAGGAGACGGATAAATCTTCTTCTCCGGTAAGAAAATCCACATCTGACTCTGAAACATGCCAACTTTCTGAACCTACGAGCAGATTTAAGCCTCAGCCATATAACCCTCTTCACTCTTACCAAAGACCTCTTGATTCTCTCACTCAAAGTCTGTTTTCTGCAGAACTGGTAGCTTCTCAGAAACAGTTGTCTCTTCTCCATCATCATATAGTTGTTGTTGTTGTAGCCATATTCAAAATAGTTGTTGTAGTTATAGTGCCCAGAAGCAAACGAATCAGTCCTGCTTAGTGGCATCAAATTCATATTCTGTCCCAACAAAGCCATATTAGAAGATATATAAAACAAGAAGAGATCGTCACTCTGTAGTTCTCTCTCTCTTTCTCTCTCTCTCTCTCTTCCCTGATAAACCTAGAGAACAAGAATGAAAGAGGGTTTGGTTTCGAGAGAGAGAGATATGTTAATATATATATATATATATATATATATGTGTTGGAAATTGTATATAAAGAAGTGGAAGTTTGTCTGAGTGTATTAAATTGTATGTACTATGTACCTGTATTATGTATGTGGTCTTGTGTTTGTTTGCTTAGTTTTGCCTTTTGCTTTTCTTTGTGAATTGCAAGCGACGACTGCGCCGCCACAAGAGCCTTAGCTAGAGCCAAGCCAGATCACTCGCTTTCTATTGTAGTTTCCAATTTCCATGCCTGCCTAACTTTAGTTTCTCTTTTGTCCTAACTGATGAGTTTATAATTGTAATAAATAGTAATATTCTAATAATCGACTTTTACACGTGGACAGTTGGATGAGCTCTTGCTCTCTGTAGATGGACGGTGACGTGCATTTTGTGTTTTTCTGTATTTTGTTGATTCATTATTATTATTATTATTATTATTATTATTTTTCTGAGTCTTACTTATGGCTTATTATTATTACTACATGGATGACAATGGTTAGGTTTTATGACTCAAAAAAAGATTATCTCAATCTACTTTTAGTCTTGGTTGTGGGCCTCCATGGACCGTCCGATTTTGTTCCATCTGGGCCTTCCACCGTCAGCAAGTGGGCCCTTTAGTTTAATGGACCCCACCTATCAATATGTAACTCGTCTTGAGAGGAGGTTGAAAAAGTAGGGCACCATTTAGTGGCTTGTCCATTCGTATCCGAAAATTTTTATTGTTTCAACTACCATCTTTATTTGTACAAACCACCACATCTGCATGTCATATAGGTTCTACAAATGGTACAAATTAAGGCGATTATGGCAATAAAATGACATAGAGAACATGTTCTCCTTGCTAATTAACATTATTTTCCCCAAACATAATTGAGATTTATGTATTATTTACGTATACATGGAAGTTGGCTTATCCATTGGATCATGAGCTATTAAAATGACTCGTAATAACAAGAGTATTTTCTTTATTAGCTCTAAGTAGTTTAAAGCATAAGCAACAAAGAACACTACAGATGGATAAGCCTAGCAATTTTGCGTAAGATGGGAAAGCTTCGGCCGGAGATTATTATTCGATTAATTAGTGATTAGGAAAAAAAAAACGTTTCTAATTGGTTCACCAACCACAGTTTGTATGATGTTCTGCCTTGCAAGTATTACCATTTATACGTGGATAGATCATGCAGTTTGCTCTGTATTCGTGAACCTCGTAACTCATTCTCTTTCGGTGCAAGTTATTCGTGTCAAAATTCAAGTTTTTTAAATCCAAATTATCTCAAGGTTTTTCAAACTTGATAATCTTATCATGTCAATGCATAGCCGTCACAAAACAAGTCCCTTGTGAACCAAGACTCTTGGAACTTGTTTACCATTGTGTGAAGTGAGAGATGATATATATTTCTTACCCCAGTTCAACAACCCAACATATATTTCTGAACTAATTTAGCAGAAATATGGTACACAATAATGAATGACTAAATTCGACTACATGGATTTCACTTCCTTTTAAGAGCAAAAAAACTCAAAAGTTGGGAAGTTGTTGAGAGATACAATACGGCGAGACATCTATCTATGTCATCACTTTACATAACATCATTAATTCATCATCATTATCTAATGAACTTCAAGAACAGGAACATTATTTAATCATATCGAATTGGAAAATAAATTCACACTTAATAATTGTGTTGGATCTGCATCTAATGGAGTGTTGAAGCAAGCTAGAGCAGCATCATAAGTATCAAAGGTGTGGGGTGGACAATCTCAACTGGAGTGACATAAATGGAGATAATTTGCGAGTCAACAGAAATATTATTATTAAATTTACGATTAATTAAAATCACACCGTTTGACTCATAGGAAAAGTATATTTATTGATCATACAAATTTAAAATACAATCTTTACATTCAAACAACGCCGCAGAAGGTAAAACATGTTGATCAACCTCGTTTCAAGCAAGTGGGAGCTCCTACCAATCCATGTTAATAACTTTTTTCTTTTTTTTTTTTTTTCTTTTTTTAACTAGGATAGAATAATAAAAAGATTAAATAACTAGCCGTTAATTTTATTTAGCTAATGAAAAATGCTTTATCTAAAAAAGCTAACCATTTAACTAATAGTTGGAGTAGAGAAAAACTAAAAAAAAAAAAAAAGCGCTAAGTCATTAACTGTTTTAGCTAAAAATATAAAATGACTAGCATAGTTAAAGTTGCTCTTAATATAGTTAGTTAAACATTATTTTGAAACTTCAAATTGGACAAATAATTTGAGTCCGTAATAATTATTACATATCATTAATAATTTTTACTCATATGATTCTGGGTTCAAAACTGTACCCTCTACATATATAAAATTCTACTCTATTCTTTTTATTTGTATGCAAGCAAACCATTTTGTTTGGTTGGGGGATTCGTCCCCTGATTCAGATCATGATTCGTGGTTTGTTACAGTATTTTCTCTTACAAAAAATACACGTAAATCAAAAATAATTCTAATCACATGAACCAAACGTCTCCTAAAATTCAACACCTCAAGGTGGAGTGAGGTATAGAATCACCTCAAAGAACACTTTATTGCTAGTATACATTTCAAGCATCACATAATATCCAAACATATGAAAATTGAGTAATTTGTGAATTTGATGAAATATGAAAATATATAACAAAATCTGGTAGATTAAGATATATAGGGCCCGTTTAGTTCGCTGATTCGAGTTTTTAATTCGAGTTGAGATGTGATTTTATGTGAGTTTTTTACTGTAGCAAAAAAATTAGATGTAATTGTTTTGAGTTTTTAATTCGAGTTGAGATGTGATTTTATGTGAAAATTTGTTACTATAGCAAAAAAGTTAGATGTGATTGTTTGTGATAGCTTTTTACTGTAGCCAAACTCGAATTCTAAACTCGAATCAGCGAAATGAACGGAACCATAAATTATCGGTTGGGTTTTATTTATTTATTTTTTATTTCCTTCTCTGTTCCTTTTCTTGTAGTAAGTGTATATGAGGCATATCTATCAAAAAGAACAAGAAACAAAAAAAGAGCTTGTGAAATCCACTAGACGATTCAAGTCTCCAATATGCTATGGAATAAAGAAATGAATTCAATAAGAACAAAGACTCAATTCTATGTTATCTTTGATATTGTGGTCATGAAATGGAAGTATGACAATCAGAGGTTCTTTATCTACAATGCACACCGGACGGACAAACAGGCCATTAAAGACTACCTCAGTGGGAACTGGGAAGCATCATATCGATCGTTGATTCGTTATAGCATATAATGAAGGGTGGGAGAGAGCCAGAGAGGGAGTACATTGAAATTTGAAGCCAATACAAAAGCACAATCAGGCTTTGCCGAAAGAACAGAACAATCTACAACCGCATCCCTCTCGAACAATATCATCTTTTCTTTGTATGGACACCCTTCTATTACCTGTCTACCACATTCCATTCATTCTTGTCACCTGAAATCACTTTCCTTTGCAGCAGGCACCTTTGCAGGGTAACTCGACATGTCCAAGTCAATAAGCGACATGTCATATGGCACTGAAAAAGCAGCAGAAGTATCCACAAGCAAGGAAGACTTCATTGCCTCGGAAGTTGCAGAATCGGGCACTGAAGTAGAACCTTTAGGAGTGCTTGAGTTCGAAGTTGACAGACTGGAAAGCTGTATGTCATCCATCTTGTTTCCAAGGTGTTTGTTTTTCCTGACAGCATCCATCTCTGGTCCAGTTGGGACAAAGGTGCGTGACCGATATTTCCTAGTTCCCTCGTCACCCTCATTGTGGTTGTAAAGCACATAATCATGATAAGTAGGTGCAAACTACACAAAACAAATATATATATATATATATATATATATATCAGTTAGCTTGAGCAATGCGTATGCCCAATACAGTCATCTATGGGAAACCAAAGGCAGAAATGACTAAATGCAAGGCCCACCTGGTGCACTGTGTCATGGTAAAAGTCGTTTAACTTCACGGCATGGGCGAGGCTTCCTGTGAAACCACGGGATCCACCAATGTTTGCACCAGCATACTCCTTGTATGGGAATGCATAAAGATGTCCAACAGCAGCGATAAGCATCTCTACGCATATAATGAAATTCTGAAATTGAGCAGCATCATCTGCATTCTTTATGAACTTTGACTTTGCAGCAAGAAAGACCAGTACACCCTACATTACCAATTAAAAGTTCAATGTCATATTGAAATATTACAATTGGGCTTTCGCTTAAGGCCCACCGTTCCAACAACAGAAACCTGAAGGTCCTGAACAATGTGGAGTGAAAATATGTTTTTTACTCTTTTCTAATAAAGTTTTATGGACAAGTTTCCAGACCATAAACGAATGAAAGAAAAGTGGTATTAGAATTGTCCATATGGAAACACCATAAGAAATGAAAGAACAATATTGGAGGCTTTCTAAAATGCATGGAGGCTTATACGTTATTGATAAATTAATACATAGATATCCATACTTAGCAAATCTATATCCATCTTAAAAATGAAAGATAAGAGCATTAACTCCATACTATCCTCTGTTATTCTTGAAAATTTGCAATATTCTGGATGATCCTACCAGTCTATTATACAAGAAACTGAAAGTTTTTTATATGCCGAGCGAATAACTATAAAAGGATTTGCCCGTAATTTTGGTCATGAATCGGCTCAAGTCATTTAACCTTGTCAAAAATCCTTCTGAAACATAATCCCCAGAGGCATCCTCATTCATAGGCGTGCATGCAATTTACAGCTAAGTCCAAAATACTACACAAATGCCGTCACTAAAAAATTACTCCATGCCTAGAAAAGAAGGATGTAGATAGTTTTTCCCTGCCAATAAGTCAAGAAAACGACAGATTTTATTATGATGAACTTTGGAACTGGATTGAATGGCTGAAGCAGATCTTTGCAAGCAACATAAAACAAAGCCAATACATAGAGAGCCATTGTGTACGACAACATATAGATGATTGTTAGATAAAGATATGACTGGTTTGGATTAAAATTTCCATCTTTGTATTTTCCTTTTGCGTAAAGGATGAGCGTCACAGCAACTAATATAGGCTTCAGAATCACGAACTGCAAACATCCTTGCTTGCACCTACGTATAAAGCGTCTGCATTGATGGTTTTACAAGTGTGAGTCTGCCAGACAATCTCAGATGAGCAAGGTTGAAACGTATTAACATTTTAGAAAATACTTTGTCGGTGTTGAAAGCTGACATATTTTCGGGAGAAAACATGAGTTACATATGGCCTTGCCATAATTCATAAAGAATCTGGTTTCTTAATCCCAAAGAGAGAGTAGAAGTTTTTTTCCCAGTGGAAAATAAATTCCCAAATAATACAGAAATTATGCAATTCAGTTAACATGCAGAAACAACCAACTAAAAGAAAAGCAACAGTAGTTTCTTTTTATGAACTCACCCATCCAATGGTATGGGAGGAAAGCAACAAGTCATCAGATACCATGACGGCTTTAGCACCCGACCACTTAAGCTAAGGACAACAGCTCCTGGGCCACCAACCCATGCCAAGCAAAGTGATAGAAAATTATAAATGACCCAAGCTTCGTAACTGAAAGAGGGAAAAAAAAGATAAATATATGACTGTAGAATGAGTAAAAAATATATAGCTGGTTAGGTTACAATCTACTTCACCATTTTTATATATAAAAATAATAGTAATGGCGGCATTAATCAAAGTAATAAAGTAGCTATAAACAGCTTCAAAAGTTATAACCAGAGTCTATAGTAAACAAGTAGTTGTTGTCCAATAGCAAGCACAATAAGTCTCAAACAAATGAAGACGACAGCTTAAAAGAACAAGACAATATGAACCATACTCCTATTGTCAAACAAACTAGTCTACCTAAATCAATCGAGATCCAACATCTCCCACCCAAGTGAAACAACAAACTAAAGAAGAACCATGAAGCCTAAAGTAAACCCTGCTTCAAGAAAGATGGCTAATAGAAGCTAAAAGAACAAACTAGAGAATAGAGACTAGAAGTACACGACCAAATTTTAAACTCTATGTTTTGATGCCAGAATGGTGCATCCCTTTGGCATTTGTCATAGTTTATACTACATAACTTGTACAAGATACTATCAAACAAAATAGAGCCAAAAATGCCAAGAAAGTGAACCCTGAAACAGACGATGCTATGAACCATGCACAGAGTATTATCGGCATTTAAGCATGCGATTTAAACTTAAAAACAAATAAATAAAAAAGGTGAGAGCAACTTACACTTCCCGAATGGAATTGAAATAGATTGAACTCGCCGGCAAAATAAGGGACAAGAAAGACATCAATGCATAAACCTGGAAAATATAACAAGAATCACACCGTTTATACATTGACCAATCCTTAATTTCAGGCATTATCAATTATAATGCCGACAATAAACAAGCATATAGCAAAAAAACTGCAAAGCAAAAATAATTACTCACTGGGACCATAAAAATGATTCGAACGATGTATCTCTGATAGGTAGGTTCTGTGTAATTCTTGAGGTGCCTGTAGATATGAAAAGTGGCCAGAGCAATGGCTCCGACGGTGCAAAAGAAGGCGAAAATGCTCAAGTATATTGGGACAGTTTCCCCCATTTTAGAAAGCCTAATCCTCCAAAATCACCCCTATAAATTAACAACAACGGCAATATAAGAATAAACAACCAATTTGAAAAACAAAAACAAGCGAAAAGGTGAAAAGATACGAACCTGATATACACGACTCCAATAAATATTTCGCTTTATTCCCTTCTTATTTGAAGAACTTCACTCGAATTAAAAAACATATGAGATTATGGTGCTTGTTTCAGCCAAGAATCGAAAAGCCCTAACTCTCCACCAATCCGCAATCGCCTGCCGACGAAAAACCGAAATTCCAACAAAACAAGAAAAGAAAATGGAAAATGTTGAAGCCAATATGCAATTTCCCAAACTCTAAAAATGGTGAAATTGAATCGAATGAAGAAAAAAAGGAACCGCGTTTTACCTAATTTGGAAAAATTGCGAAGGAAAATTGGAAAATAACTCGGAAAAAATGGGCTGACGAGGAATTTTCTTCCTCAGATCCGTCACTGAGAAATGTGAAATCGAAGTCGGCGATGATAGGAACAAAGGAATAAGCACAAGAAATTGCTTCACTGGCAGACAATAATGGCGGCTTTTCAGTCTCGCTGTTTGTACCATTTAACAAATCTAAAAGCGAACCAGAAAATTATGTATTTTATTTTTATAAACCCAGGAATTTTCTTTTTAAAAATAGATCAACTTGTCCAAAATTCTGGAAAATTTTACAAAAGAAAAGAAAATGTATTATAATAAGATGGTGTACACGTGTGTAACAGAGGAAGCACCTGCGACAAGCCTATGCCCTCCCTGCCGTTCGATTCAATTAACATGAGCTGACCTATGCGATTTTTCTTTCAAACATCACATAAATTTTCCCACTAATTCTTCTTCTTAATATATTTCATTAAGCTTAGGGTTAATTTCATAAAATGTCCTGAGGTTTATTTTCAATTTCATAATTCATGACTTGCAAAACGTCTTTCAATTGGTCTTTTAAGACTTTATTTTACTTTAGTTTTGGTCTTTTCATTATTTAATTGTTAAATATTTGAGAAAATATACATACCACCAGAACTGAAAACAACTAAAATTTAGAGACTATCTGTGTGAATTCACTTTTATTTTTTGTATTGTTTTAGCCTCTAAACTTTAGATGTTTCTAAATTGGTCCTTAATTTCTACAAAATTTATCAAATATCTAACATTTGACTGACAAAAAAGACCAAAATTAATAATGAAATAAAATCTCATGGATTAATTATGAGGCGTTTTAAAAATATGGGATCAAAATGAAATTCAGTATATACCTCAATATCTATTATGCAATGCAGTTAACGTTTAAGTTTTATAAGAATAATAATATTTGTATATACATAAATAAATAAAAAGATTGGTCCCTTTTATGTTTTTAGATTAGAAAATTAGGTGGATAGCTAATTTTTAACACCACTTTAAATTGATAGTCCAAATTTTTTTAGGTAAATGACCATCAATAATCATGGACTGATAACCCGATTTATTATTGATTCATCACTGATTTATTACTGATAAGTCCATAATTATTGATTGCAATTGGTTCATTTCTAATTGATTTTAATCAATCAATGATAAATTACTGTTGTCTATTTTATGTACTTGCTACGTATCGAAATAGTTAATATCATGATGAAAAGTATCATTCCCACAGAGATAACTATTATTCTAAAGGCTAATTACTAATTTACTTCACTCTAATTTTATCCAAACAATAATTAAACTAAGAGACTAAAAATAAAACAAGAAAATCTTAAATGAAACGTGAATTGCAAGACAAAAATCAATAGATGGTGAAACCTAGGTCTATAACTTCTCCCAACAATCCACTTAATTAAAATATATCCTTCCCAAAAATTATTATTCTACTATGATTGTCATCCACGAGCCTCTGTCGATGGTCATACAAAAATATCTTCTTAACTAATTCTCTATATGTCTATGAGAATTAATTAAACAGAATTTATTAAGTTGAAGCCCGTATAAATGGATGCACATGCAACATGAGTATACGTCTATCTCAAATTAACACATGTTATTCTGTCTAGGTTATGAACACAAAATAACTCCATCGATATTATTAAGGTTCACCAAATCAATTCAATCAATTGCCAGTTAATTAAATTACAACAAACTCAAAATAGAATAAACACCCACTTGTAGAATGAATCGTTGAAAAGGAAAATAATTCAATTAAGCATCATCATGAATAGGTTCCATTACAGACCTAGAAAATAAAACTTTGTTCATGAATACAAAAGAAAACATTCTAATCAATGTCTTAAACATGAAGAAGAAAGAAGAATAAAAACTGGTTATGAAGATGAATTTGAGGCTTGGAAAACCGTAACCGGATCACCACGCTTCCTTCTCCACACCTCGGTCTTTTTCTCCCCCCAAAATTCTCTGGCAAAAGACCCCTTTTGAAGCCCTTATATGCATAGATTCGAGAGGGGCAATATTGTCTTTTCAATTTTTGACACAAAACTTGAAAATCATCCTTTCATGTGATGCTAGCTTTATGCCGCGCACCGCATCTTTGCTAGCTTTATGCCGCAGCTTGGGTCTTCAGCATGTCGTCACACTTTATTGCTTGGGATGTCGCGACTTTGGAGAGTTAGTGCTGCGGCTTCAGGCAAAGACATGCAAGTTTTCAAATTTTCTTCAAGTGATGAGTGCCACGGCTTCAAAGTAGAGATGTCAAAAGGGCCGTGCCGTGCCCGGCACGGCCCTTCTAACTCCAGGCCCATGGCGGGCCTGGGCCGTACCTGGCACGACCCTGCACAGTGCAGGGCCGTGCCAGGGTCGGGCCTGAGGAGAAACCCTCAGGTCCAGCACTGGCCAGGGCCGGGCCTGGGCCCAGGCCCTTCACGGGCCGGCCCTGGCCCTTTTTAATTTTTTTTCAATATTTATTTAAAAAAAAGAAAATATATCATATGTCCCCAAAAGATGTGATTTTATTGAATTGAGATAATACAAATAAGTACACATAAATGATCAACTCGTTAAAAACCTTGTCAAGTAAATCTCGTGGGGAGATCGGGACAAAACCTTAGCGAAGGAAAAAAGAGTGCAGTATTCTAGGATAAATAAATTACAAAATCTAAGTGCTTCTAGAAGATTCTGTTATGTCTAAACTCAATCTTAACCTAATTTTCTTAATGCACTTGAGTTTCACTTATGATTAGCAATATTTTTAGGATTTTTTTTAATTTCAAATTTGATGACAAAAAAAAAAGTAATATATCATATGCCCCAAAAATATGTGATTTTATTGAATTAATATGAATAATTATAAGAAAATGACTGGTTGACCAGACAGCATAGGTCGGCCAATTGACCCTAAAATGCCTCAAACCTCATTAAAATTTCATGTCGCGGGCCTGGCCCTTCGCGTGCCTGGGCCGTGCCTGGGCCGTGCCTGGGCCTTGGGCGTGCTTGGGCCGTGCCTGGGCTACAGGCCTCAAACATGAAGCCCAGCCCAGGCCCTTTTGGCGTGCTGTGCCGGCCCTGCCCATAACAGTACAGGGTCGGGCCGTGCCGAATTTAGTACTGTAGCGGGTTGGGCCGGGCCGTCCATGGACGGCCTGGCCCAATTGACACCTCTACTTCCAAGAGACGATGCCACAGCTCGTGTGGGGTAGTGGTCCTCCAAATCGCAATGACGCAGCTTCTAAGAACCAATGTCGCGGTCTTGACCTCTCTTTCTTAATTAATTTCATATTCGCACCAAAAACCTCCTCTGAAGTATCCATAGCGTGTGAATTCATTCCAAATCAATCTAACCTGCAATTTTGAGAAACAAAACACATTAAACAAACAAAAACGCTCGAAAACCAACAAAACGCATATTCGAAAGCACCCGATTCATGAGTATAAAACTCACTCATCAGTCACCAAGTCAATTAGTGATTCACCACCAAATCAATCAATGATGAACCAATTTATAATGATTTATCATTGATAAGCAGTCATTTTCCAAATTTTATAAATCTTCTACCATTTATTAAAAAATAGCTCAAAAAAAGTTATTTTGTACATATCCTTTTTCTTGTTGAACATTAGGAACATCTCATTTGATTCCTATAAGTTAATTGAATGTTCTTTTTATAAGAGAAAATAAGATAGTAAAAATGTTATAATTGGGATTTGAACTTATGAAAAAACAGGATTTAAGCCTTTCGAAGTCGCGTGGTTGAGTGTTAGCTTGTCTAATTGTGTGGTTGGGTGTTACCTTGTCTAATATCCGCTCAAGCACCCACGTTGATTGTGCACTACAACTCCTTTAGTCAACTCGGTTTGAATTGGGAGAAAAACCATGAAGGTCATTTCCCACCTTAGCGGATGACTACCTCCTAGTGGGTGACTAAGTATGTAGCATAGACCATGTACGTAGCAAGATCAACTTTAGGTTGATTCAATAGACAACTTAAGTCGCCTTAGTCCCTAGGGTGTTAGTACCTGTTGTGTGGCAAAATGTGACGGACACATGGACGAATGATAATGCGACACGTGCCCTTGACTACTCTCCGCCAAGCAACAACCCTCGACGTCTACGGCTCCCTCCTATTCCGCTGGAAAGCCCAAAGCACAAAGTCCAAATTAGGGCGACAATTCCTTCTGGCGTCGACAGATCACGCCGTCGAGATTAAGGCACGAAGATCCCTTGACCGCAGAAAGGACCGCCAAAGAGGGTGATTGGGCTAAGCAGTGCTGACGACGAGGGGAACATTCTTTAGAGGACGTGATGGGTTGCGTGCAAAAGTGGAAGACGTCTGCAGGCATTAATTGCAATCTCTCAAACCGCCCCACAGGGGACAGAAAAGTATTACAGAGAAGCACGGAGCCGTAATAGGAGACTAATTGGCTGAGTGAACAGTATTGATTAGTGGGCTACATCTGGGCCTACCAAGGAAGAGCACTTGAGTGCTTCCACCTATGAAGGAAACCCCCTAAGCGAAGGAAGCCCAGTATAAAAGGAGGAAGACCCCCAGTAAGGAAGGGGTTCAGAGATTCCAGCAAAGAGAAAAGAGATTTAATGAGAGCAATTGTTGTAAATTGTTATCTTCTCAAAAGAAATACAAAATCACAGTGGGTGTAGCTCTCATTTTATAGAGTGAACCACTATAAAATTCCTTGTGTTGGTTGTCTATGCATGATTTAGTTAACACACGTATTCAACAAATTCTCATACGTTTACTACACACAGGCCGGTAATCCAAAGGGAAACCAAGAGGTAACCCGGCCGGTTTTTGTTGGCGAAATTTGACCGTCAACAATTGGCGACTCCACTGGGGACCGAAAGCATTCGACCCCCAACAACATAGTTAGCAAACACGCCTCCTAGATAGATGGACGGGATGGAAGGAGATCTACGCCCGATCGGAGATGAAGCCCCGCCCCTGGGCGCGCCACGGCCGGATCCTGCGCAGATGCATGCCCAACTGACCACTCTCACTGAGCTGGTACGTGGGTTGATGACCGTGGTTGAACGCTTAGATGGAAGGAACTTCATGCCACCATTAGAAGACGCCCCAAGGCCGCAAGGATCTGCCGTGGCCGGAAACCCGAACCCCGGTGACCACCCACATATCCAAGAGGGAGCTGGAGATAGTGAGAATCACCGGGGCCCTCCTAGGCCTCGGCCTTCCCAATCCTCTGGCAGCCGTTTGGGGGCTGCCGGACTCCGAGCTCCCGAGGACCGGGTACCGAGAGGTCCAGGAAACCCCGAGGTATTATCCCAGCTCCCTCATGGAACGTATGGCCAGCCTGGAGCAAAAACTGACGGGGGACGTGGCGGGCCTAAAAAAGAATATAGGTCGTGTGGCTGAGGTGGTAAACGTCGATATCACGCCTAGCCGCATACATGACCATCCATTTATTGAAGAAATAATGGCGCTCCCTCTCCCTGATAAATACAAGTCGCCGTCAATCCCACCGTATGATGGGCAGGGAGATCCCGACGACCATTTGGAGATGTACACAGGGTACATGCTCTTGCACGGTTATGCCGAGGATATCATGTGCCGAGCCATTCGAAACCATTTGACGGATTCTGCCCGAAGATGGTTCCGGACGCTGAGGCCAAACTCTATCTCGAGCTGGGACGAGTTGAAGGAAGCATTTTCCCTCTAATTCATAGGGGTCAAAAAGTACGTCCCCCCAAAGCAGAATCTGACGACGATATACCAAAAGCTGAACGAGTCACTAAGGGAAAGGCTCGCGAGATATGGGGAAGCTGTCGCCGCCACGATGGATATAACAGATAGAGAGGCCTTGATGGGGGCCTTATCTAACATGAAGAAAATTACCACATTCAAAAGAGAGCTGAACCGGAAACCTCCGTCCAGCTACATGGAGTTTTTGGCGCGAGCGCAGGGGTACATCAACGCTGAAGAGGCGGACGCAAATGACCCCGAGCACAGGTCCAACAAGAATAAAGGAACCGAACAAGGGTCGACGCCTTTGAAACAGGATGGGAAGAAGCGTTGAGGTGAAGGAAACGGAGATAAGCAGCCCGCTGTGACGACGAGCACTCCAGAAGCCAAGAAGCCGAGGCAAGAGGATACCCGTAAGTCGCGACTGTTCCAAAAATACGATTCCTACCACAAGCTAACGGTAGGAGTCGAGGAGATCTTCAATCAGGTCGGCCGCGGGAACTTGTTGTGTCGACCGGAACCGATGAAGTCAGATCCCAGCCGAAGGAACTAGAAGAAATTCTGTAGGTTCCACGGCAATGTCGGCCACCACACCAACGATTGCGCCGATCTCAAGGATGAAATCGAAAGAGTAATTCGTGAGGGAAGGTTACAAGAGTTCAGGGCCGAACGGAGACCTCGAAATGACGGTCATGGTAGGCAAAATGACGGTCGACGCCGAGAGGAGAACCAGCGCCCAGAGGATCGCGAACCTGTCGGCGTCATACGGACTGTCCTTGGCGGTCTTTATATAGGAGGAGACTCAAGAAGGTCTCAGAAGGACTACGCCCACGAGGCCAAGGGGGTTTATTAGGAGCGATTCTGGAGCGTCTCCGCTGTAAAAACCCCAATGTATAGTCACATCGACGTGACCTTTAATGAGGATGACGCTAGTGGGGTTCATTTCCCCCACAACGACGCCTTGGTGGTGGAAGCCATGATAGGAAACCACACCGTGTGCAGAATCCTGGTAGACAATGGGAGCTCGGTGGACCTCCTATACTCTGACTGCTTTGAGAAAATGGGGATCCAAAAGGAACAATTGGAAAAAACCTCCAGGCCGCTATGTGGTTTCACTAGGGACTCCGTCATCCCCCAGGGGACCATCTGGTCGCCTATAATCACCGGAGAAAAACCCCGACAGGCTACCACAATGGCCAACTTCGTGGTTATAAAAGGAGGCTCCCAATACAATGCCATGATTGGAAGACCAACCCTTCAAGCGCTAAGGGCCATAACTTCCGTTTACCACCAAAAGGTCAAGTTCCCTACCCCAAATGGCGTGGACGAAATGAAGAGCAACCAGTATGAAGCTACGGTTGCATACTCTGACGCCCTGCACGGATATGACCAGCCAGGAAGACAGGAGGCGAGGATGGTTCACCAGAGTCTCGTCGAGGACATAGACCCTAGGATCCAAGAGGAAGTCACATGGTCTCAACCCGTCGAGCAGTTGGTGGAAATCCAAGTTAATGAAGGCGAGTCCACCAAAGTGCTAAAAATGGGCTCGGGCTTAGCCCCATCACTTAAGGTTGAGATCGAAAACTTTCTCAGGAAGAACTTAGATGTCTTCGCCAGGAATCATTTCGACGTGGAAGGGATCGACGCCGAGGTAATATGTCACTCCCTAAACGTCGACCCCTCATATCCGCCCAAGCGTCAGAAACGTCGACCGATGAACCCCGAGAGGTATGAAGCACTGAAAGAATAGGTCGACAAGCTGATCAATAATGGGTTCATCAAGGAGGCCCATTACCCACGTTGGGTATCAAACCCCGTTCTAGTGGTCAAGCCCAACGGGAACTGGAGGACATGCATCGACTTCAACGATCTCAACAAAGCCTACCCAAAGGATGGCTTTCCACTCCCTCGAATAGACCAAATGGTCGACGCCACGGCGAGACATGAGATGCTGAGCTTTATGGACGCCTACTTCGGATACAACCAGATCCCCATGCATCCAGCCGACGAGGAGTACACATCCTTCATAACCGACAGGGGCCTCTACTGCTACAAGGTAATGCCTTTCGGCCTGAAAAATGCAGGGGCTACCTACCAGAGGCTTGTGAATAAAATGTTCGCTCAACAGCTCGGCAAAACGATGGAGGTCTACGTCGATGATATGCTTGTAACAAGCACCAGGGCCAACCATCACGTCAATCATCTGGGGGAAATGTTTGGTGTGTTAAGAAAATACCACATGAAACTCAATCCCCAGAAATGTGCCTTTGGAGTTGGGTTGGGGAAATTCCTCAGTTTTATGGTTAGCAATCGTGGGATTAAAGCTAACCCTGAGAAAATCAAAGCCCTACAGGATATGCGGTCCCCAACAAAGCCAAAGGAAGTGCAAAGATTAACAGGATGTGTCGCCACCCTAAACATGTTCATATCAAAAGCAACCGACAAATGCGTCCTCTTCTTCGGTGCTTTGAAAGGAAGCAAGCGCTTTGAGTGGACACCATAATGTGAAGAGGCCTTCCAGAAATTGAAGGAGTATTTGGGCAAGCCTCTGATTTTGTCAAAACCAAACGTCGACGAGGAGCTTAGCCTATACTTCTTCGTGTCCCAACACGCCGTAAGCTCCGTATTAGTAAGAGAATAAGAGAGGGCGCAATTGTCGATCTACTATGTAAGCAAAAGGCTCCTCGACGCCGAGTCGAGATACAGCGAAATGGAGCGCCTAGCCCTCGCCCTGATGGTAGCTTCAAGGAAGCTTCGGTACTATTTCCAATCTCACACAATACGGGTTCTCACAAACCACCCGCTGAGACAGGCTCTACAAAAACCTGAAACTTCCGGTCGACTCCTCAAATGGTCGGTAGAATTAAGCCAGTTTGACATAAAATATGTGCCAAGAACTACGATCAAGGGCCAAGCGCTCGTCGATTTTCTGGCTTAGTTCTCTCACAGACCAGCTCCCGCCGCATCTGGAGAAGTCGAGGTTACAAAATGGAAGCTCTACGTGGATGGGGCGTCGAGCGAAAACGGGTCAGGAGCCGGCGTCTTGTTAATCAGCCCCGAAGGCTACAAGATTACCTCGGCGGTTCGATTTAAATTCAAGGCGTCGAACAATGAGGTGGAATATGAAGCACTAATTGCCGGACTACGATTAGCCAGCCACCTGAAGATCGAAAGGCTCAGCGTCTTCAGCGATTCTCAATTGGTCGTCGCGCAAGTAAAGGAAGAATACCAAGCGCGCGGCGAGAAGATGGGAGCGTACTTGAGAAAGGTAAAGGAAGAACTCGTTAAGTTCAAAAACTACGAAATACTTCAGATACCACGGGCCGAAAACGCGAACCCCGACGCCCTGGCAAAACTAGCATCTTCAAGAGATTCCGACACCCTGGGGGTCATTCCCATCGAAGAATTGGAGCTGCCGACCATTGAAGAACAAGCTAAGGCATTAATCACCCAAGCAGGTGGAAATTGGATGACACCGCTCATCCAATACCTAATGGACGCACAACTGCCAGATAATAAAGATGAAGCCAGACAGATCAGGTATAGAGCTGCTAGGTTATTGTACGACGGCTTGCTCTACCGACGAGGCTATTCAACACCTCTACAGCGGTGTCTAGGTGATGCCAAAGCCTAGAAGGTCCTCCAAGAAATCCATGAAGGAGTCTGTGGTAACCATACTGGGGGACAGTCTCTGGCTCTAAATGTTTTGAGGCAAGGATACTACTGGTCCACGCTAAAAAAGGACGCTTTTCAATACGCCCGACGTTGCGATAAATGCCAAAGGTATGCCACAATTCCTAGAGCACCCCCAGAAAATTTAACTTCCATTCTCAGTCCATGGCCCTTCGCCAAATAGGGGGTTGACCTGATCGGGCCATTACATCTTGCACCCCAAGGATTTAAGTTTGCAATTGTTGCGGTAGACTACTACACGAAGTGGGCAGAGGCAAAGGTTCTAACTACAACCACGGAAGCAGCCTGCACCAAATTCATGTGGGACCACATCGTATGCAGGTTCGGGGTTCCCCACTCAATAGTATCCGACAACAGAAAGCAGTTTGACAACGCCTCAACACGTAGATTCTGCGATATCTTGGGCATCCGAAAAGACTTCTCGGCACCAATCCATCCACAATCAAATGGACAAGTCGATGCGGTCAATAAAATATGAAAGTATACCCTCAAAAAGAGACTCGACGATTTGAAAGGGAAATGGGCCGAGGAACTTCCCAAGGTCCTATGGGCATACAGAATGATGAGCCGAACTACCACGGGTGAAACACCCTTCTCCATGGCGTATGGCGTCGAGGCAGTGCTCCCCGTAGAAATTGAAACGCCGACTCTAAGAACCGTCGTCCATAACGACGATAACAACGCGGAAGGCATGAACGGAGACTCGACTTGTTGGAAGAAAAAAGGCTCGACTCCCAACTACGTCTCGCCACCTATCAGCAAAGAACAACGCGATACTACAATAAGAAAGTTCGGCAGAGAAGGTTCGTCCCAGGAGACCTAGTATTAAAAAGGGTAACGCAGAGCACGAAACCCAAAAATACTGGTCCACTGGGCCCAACTTGGGAAGGGCCCTACCGCATAAGGGAAGTGCTACGCCCTGGCACCTACATTTTGGAGAACCTCAACAGCAAAAGGATTCAACACCCGTGGAATGCAGAACAGATAAGGCTGTACTACCAATAGTGTATGAAATTTTTACATATCTCAATTGTACATTCTTTACAAGTTGAATAAATTGATATGTTTGCATAAAGAAAAGAATTCACCCCTTAATAACATGTCTGCTTAAAAAACCAAGGTTATATTAAACAGACATGGGGGGACAGAGGTCCACGGATCACTACAAAATGACACGACGACCCCAAGGGGTGCAATCGACGTCAGATCCTCTAAGGAGGAAAGACGAGGACTTAGCAAAATTCTAAGGAATTTTCTAAAACGACGACCCCAAGGGGTACAATCGACGTCAGATCCTCCAAGGAGGAAAGACGAGGACTTAGCAAAATTCTAAGGAATTTTCTAAGACGACGACCCCAAGGGGTGCAATCGACGTCAAATCTTCCAAGGAGGAAAGACGGGGACTTAGCAAAATTCCAAGGAATTTTCTAAGACGATGACCCCAAGGGGTATAATCGACGTCAGATCCTCCAAGGAGGAAAGACGAGGACTTAGTAAAATTCTAAGGAATTTTCTAAGATGACGACCCCAAGGGGTGCAATCGACGTCAGATCCTCCAAGGAGGAAAAACAAAGACGTAGCAAAATTTCAAGGAATTTTCTAAGACGACGACCCGAAGGGTATAATCGACGTTAGATCCTCCAAAGAGGAAAGGCAAAAACTTAGTAAAATTCTAAGGAATTTTCTAAGAAAGCAGTAATTGCAAATCAAGGTATAAATTAAATCTGTTATCTTTTATATATAAAGTGCAGATAAAATAAAAGATGTCTGAATCAACAATAAGTTACAAACAAAAGAGAGACAGGTAAAAATCATTTCAGGCCTCGCTGCCAGCCGCCGATTCATCACCGTCACCAGGCGGGGAAACGTTGTCATCACCAGCAGGAGGATGAGAGTTATAAAGGAAGCTCAAGTCCCACTCAGGACGCTCCTTCTTGATCAGATTCTAAGATGACGACCCCAAGGGGTGCAATCGACGTCAGATCCTCCAAGGAGGAAAAACAAAGACGTAGCAAAATTTCAAGGAATTTTCTAAGACGACGACCCGAAGGGTATAATCGACGTTAGATCCTCCAAAGAGGAAAGGCAAAAACTTAGTAAAATTCTAAGGAATTTTCTAAGAAAGCAGTAATTGCAAATCAAGGTATAAATTAAATCTGTTATCTTTTATATATAAAGTGCAGATAAAATAAAAGATGTCTGAATCAACAATAAGTTACAAACAAAAGAGAGACAGGTAAAAATCATTTCAGGCCTCGCTGCCAGCCGCCGATTCATCACCGTCACCAGGCGGGGAAACGTTGTCATCACCAGCAGGAGGATGAGAGTTATAAAGGAAGCTCAAGTCCCACTCAGGACGCTCCTTCTTGATCAGATTGAATATTTGCTGACCCGCAGACTGAAAATCCTTGGTGCGGATGTCAGCGAGCTCTGGAGAAGCCTTAAACTCCTCAATAATCTCAGCACGCCTGGCGTCGAAGGCAAATGCAGCTTCCGCCTCGGCTTCCCTCTTCCCCTCAGTCTTCCCCTCAGCGAAACGCCTCTTCGCTTCCTTAGTTGTTTCAGACAACTTTTTATCGGACAAATCCGCCCGCTTCGTGAGATCTTCGACCTCAATCTTCAACTTTGCCAGTTCATCTTCCAAACTCGCCAGCTTGGCCAAGGCCACGTCCCTCTTCTTGACGGCATCATCTAGTTGTTTCTTGGCGTCGGAAACAAGGGAGTTGAGCTTGGCTTCCACGTCGTCCATCTCCTTGTCACGCTCCTCAATCTTAACTAGGTCAAGGAGGTTAAGGATGGAAAGGACCAGGCTCTGAAAAGTTGAAGGTCAGAAAAATAGGAACGCAGAACGACGAGTGTAAAAAAAAAAAAAACTCTTGACAAGGTCTTACGTGGATTTGGAAGGAGATTTGTTTGCGCTGACGATCGACCAAGGACGACTGAGCGGCAACAACCCAGTGTGGCTCGAGGAAAGACTCGTAGAGAGCCTGAAAGACGAGGGAGAAGCGAGGGGGAAGTTTTAGCATCGCCCCAATCTCAGCGTCAGATACATCCGGG